CATGGGACAGATGCTATACCAGGAGTACTTTCCCTCTAACCATGAGTTGAGTCAGCTGAAGGATCGCATGCCCGACCGCTACGAGACTTTATGGGACCTCACATGTCACTATCATATCGCTTTGGCGTAGTCTGAACCTTTAGCGAAGAGGGCTAAATCCCATGTGAGCCAGAAACAGTTTGCGTCTTATTTGTTCAGGAATCTAGAGAGCAATTCTGGCGAGGCTATTTGTGAGTTGGCACCACTCATTCCTTCAGGGGTTAATAGTTTACTGAAGAAGATTGACGCCCATTCCTATACCATTAGCAGTCCTGAGAGTGGTTTTCCTACAGGGACCAAGTTTAAATCATTCTTGTGGCATGCGACCGCGCCGATTCGACCGATGACCCTTCTCGCCGGTTACCTCGCTATTTGGTTAAAGAAATGCGTGGTCCCATATCAGTCTAGTGATATCTTGCCATTGGAGGTGCTCTACCCAGCAGTTCAGCTTGCCTACAAAAAGGAACTTTCGCTTCTTCCGGTGATGGTGGCTAACATTCATCGAGGGCTTCGACAGATTTCTAGTGCTTTTACACGGAAGGAAAGTGAATCGCCGGCTCAGATTCCTACTATTAAGGTGGAGCTTCCGTACACTTATTTGATGGCTTGGTTCGTCCTTCATCGTTCTGATATGATGTCGGTACCGTATGCCACAGACCCCTCCGCTCCCCTACTACAGTTGTTTGAGAATGGCAAGTGGGAGGGGCGAGGATTCCCTGAGGATTCCCTGACGTTAGACAGCAGCTACAGGTCCACAAGTGTTGGGCGTTTTCCGCTTGTTTTCCGCAGTTCTCCGGCCGATACGGCGAGTGTCTGATTGATGAGGAAAAGCCGAGGGGGTATCGAACTCATTTAGACGTCGGCTGCTTTAACTGGCTGGGGAACATCAGGCCGGGTTATCTGACTTTCCGGGTGAGGAATCAGTGTTTCATAGAGCCATACCTACCCTACCGATTCGCTCGCTAGTTTGGCTATGATCAGCTTTATGTCGGGAATCCACGTCAGTAGCTTCGGACCCACGGCGGTTTGGTGGACGGACTTCGTGCATGGTTGTGGACTGAGCGGCAGTTGAACCTCACCTTCTTAAGCTGCAAGTGGTTGTTAGCAGCTAATAAAACTGTCCCCGTGAAGCCGATTGCAGAGCTAGAGGCTGAGGAGGCTTCTCAGGCCGATTCTCGTGTGATTTGGGAAAATGCTCGGTCACAAAGGACACGGAATAAGACTCGTCGGATTGACGAAGAGGGAAAGAAGATCTTTCATTCTGCTGATGAGGCTTCAGGCGGAGATCTTGAAGATTACGAGGACTGTTCTGAACGAGGTCAGTTATTTACTCTTTCCTTCTATCTTCCAGAATTATTAAACCTGACTAACAATGGTTTGATGTTTCAGGGACCACGGCTGACCAAGATGAAGAGTTCTGTCCTTCTTCCCATGCGAGACCTTCGATTGTTGTCCCTGCTGCTAGGCGGAAGAGATTAGCCCGCAAGCCGCGTGCAGTTTCGCGAGCATCTGATATGGATTTGGCCGGTGACGATCCTGCTAGTGACGGAGGTAACATCTACCCTATAGACCAACCTCTTGATCATTCAGAACTTCGACTCATGCTTTTCCATATTTATATAGGAGAGCGTGGGGAGAGAGAGATGAGTCTTGATCCTGCTTTTCATGATTTTGCATCTTCTGGTGAGCCCGACTCACCGCACCAAGTAGAAAGGCCTGCAGAAGCTGCCGACATTAGGGAGACTGTCAATGTAGGACCCGGTTCGATGAATCCA